TGCACAGGGCAGTGCTGCAGTCTGGTAAAGGAATAACGACTGCGTTGCTTTCTCCATTCAACTGGTCACGAATCTCACAGAGCAGATAGTGTTTAGTGGTCAGCTACAAGAATTCGGCATTGCTAAAACAAGAAAAACTCTGAACAAAATGCATCAGATACTTTGCTTTGTTGAAAACTACTGAGAGGTATAAAGGATTATTCAAGAGAGCTGGAGTGCCGGATGTGTTTCAGGTCGCTTGCCCTCTGGCCAAGGGTGGCTAGTGTGGCCCCCTCTTGATAACTGACTGTTCCATGGGTGATAGCTAACTGTGAAGTGGCTCTTGCATATACTGGACACCACCCTGTAATTTGGATAATCTGTGTTTCCGTGTCTGTAAAATGAGAAGATTAATCCTACGTACTTCACAGGTTTTGAGGAATGTACAAGTGGGTAGTTAGCAGTGAGAACAGTTCCTGGCCCATGTAAATCCATGGATTTGCTGATGCTATAAAGACGCCGACTCCTCTACCTCTTCTTCGACTGCTGAGAGCTGACACCACTCCACTCAGAGGACAATTGGAATTCAGTTTTTGGCCAACAAAACTGAATGCTCTGTCTCCCATGGTGCATTTAGTCACCTTCAGGAATAAATTTAGAGAATTTTAAGGATTCTCCTTTTAAACTCTGGTGTTTTTTGAATGATACTATATTTAAATTAAAATGTAAAAGTTTATTCCCCTTGTATGTTGGGGAAATACATGTTAGCACTTAACCTGCTTACTCCCGATAGTTAACTATTATTTGATAGTTATTTTACTTGTGAACATTTCTTAAAAATTAGGATAGAGATTAATCCATATATTATTTATAGGACTAATCCTGATTTAAATATTTTAGTTTTATATTGTCTCAAAGTAGGTTTCTAAGCCTGCAGTTGGCTAATTTTTGTTTTGGGATTATTTTTCAAAATGCTTTTCATACTCGTTGGCTGCTACAGTATTATTTTTCAAAGTTATTCACATCTCCTGGAGTACTTTAAAACAGATAAACTTACTGGTATAACTTACTTGTATAACTTACATAATTTCTTACTGGTCAGGTTTTCCACCGATGCTTGGCTGTGTGTGTTTCTGTAGGTAGGTAGGTAGGTTGGGAGTTATGTGCACTCGTATGCTCACATACATATTATTTGTGGGAGTATTTTCAGTGATTCGTGTTTGAATAATATTTAAAAACATTTGATCTATGAGGGTAAGAGATGTGAGAAATAACCTTAAATTATGGAACATATCACAGTTCATGAGAAAGGTCTTTTAAAGTCATGTTTTCATAGAATTAGCTTTTTGAAATAGTATTTTAACATTCCTGATTTAGCATACGTAATATAAATCCCTTTACATTGTAAGACAAATGTGCACCTAAGGTACTAGAAGTTACACTTTCAGGATTGTTTTTATATTTACTTGAGACAGATTTTCTCTCTACATTAAAGACTCCTTTTCCATATTAGAGCTCCTCTTTATGGCTTAGGCTGGCTGGTGTAAATACGCCAATTATATGTGTGTGCGTGTGTGTACATACTTCTCAGTAAATTATTCATATATATGTATGAATGTTCTCAAACTCAGATTTATAGGTACTAATTCCTAATTCATCTCCATTCCTTGAAACGTCTTCCCTTCCCTACTTTTCTTTTTATTTATTTTTAATTTTTATTTTTTTTAATTAAATTTATTGGGGTGACAGTGGTTAACATGAACATACAGGTTTCAGGTGTGGGTTTCTATGTTACAAGGTGTGTTTATTGCACTGTGTCCCCACCACCCAAAGTCATATCTTCTCCTGTCACCATGTATTAGTGCCCCCTCCGCTATGAAGCCTCTTGGGTTCCCTCAACTTTCCACTATGCTTTGTTCTTTCACCAGAGCTCCTATGACTTATTAAGAATGTGAGCTCGATATAGGCTGGAAAGTATGGACTTTGATCACAGTTATTTTCATTGTAAAATGTGGATATCAATCCTAGGTCATTGGAATAGCTATTTTTTTACATGAATTTATTAAATAACATACCTAAAAGCCCCAGTCAGTGTTAAACATATGGTAAATTTCAATGGATGGTAGCTGTTATTGTTGTAATTGTTTTATATTTGTCTCACCATTATCTCTGAGCTTCTTTAAATTAGGTACTGTGGCATATGATTTTTAATATCCTCACTTTATGGCATTTTGGCAATTTGTGGATGAACTAATAATAAAATATGTACCATGTAATAAATTTCACTATTCTAAATCTGAGCCTTCATGACCTGCTAGCAATTGCACGGATTCTCTTTGAGTTGACCTCCAAGTTTGGTTTTTGGTATTTTTCAGTTTTTAAATGTTTTTTTCTTTATAAACAATACTCAATATGTCATGTCATTCTCAACAAATCGTATTTTGATTTTCTGGTATTATTTAGTTATGAAAGAAGCATATGGTTATGCAGTCCATTTGGCAGTCTACTAATTTGATCATCGTTGAGAAATACTAATTGATTATGGATTTATTATGACAGCTAGCTATCTGTTGTGGACCAGATTATGAGCTACACAGGGCAGTGATTATGATGTCTGAATGCACAAACTGGATGGACGAGTTGAGCCAGTCAAAACTATTGTTCAGTAAGGCATTCACAACCCATAAGATATTCATTAAAAATATCAGCTCCTCTTTTTTGGTACAACTATGTCAAAATGTCATTAAAACAAATCTATTAAGTTCTTTGATTTGTCTTTCAAATTGTATTTAAAAATCTACCTATGTTAAAACTTCTTCTGGTTCAGATGTGTGAAGAGATTGAATATAAAAGTATCCTAAAAATACATCATCTGATATTTTCTAATTATTGTTAAATATTTTGAGAATGCAAATTTCATTTAAATGTCAACTGTAATTAAGTGTGTGCCATTTGTTTTTCTACTCAGGTTTTACAGTTTGATGGAATGTTTTCCCCACAATTTAATAAATATTTGTTTTATTTCACATGAATTAATTCAAAACTGGATAAGAGCAACATATTTTAATCAATTATTGTTGTGATGGACTAGAAAATAAATTTACTTCCTAAGCAAACTGTTTATTATGCATTTGAATGGGATTTATCTTGCTTAGCTTTGGCAAGCTAAACATGGATGGCAGCAATTAATAGACAACCCAACTATGTATACTGCATAATAAATAAAGCAAATTATTTTTCTTGAATATGTTGTAGATCTTTAGTGTATAAAATTTGTAATTACCCCATAATATATACCTAGCTGTGTTCTGATAACACCCATTGAAGTGAAGTAGTACAGAAATTCTACTGTGTGAATTAGGCGTTTTTAATTGGTGCCAAATATATATCATTATTTTATTTTCAGTTGTTTGCTTGTCTGTGTATAAGTCACACAACCACATTATACTTACATAAAGTGCTAGGGAGTGAACTGGAGATGAGTACGTAGCTCAGCATATTGCCCCTCCCATCAGCCTCTTAAAAAAACCAAAGATTTTAACGTTTTAGCATGATGGTTTAAAAAGCATCCCGATAGAGAGGATTAAGAGAAGGATATCAATGTTCTTATGGGAATGCAAACTTGTGTGTGGCCAGGTTACTTTTGGCAGAATATCATTATATATGAAGTAGTTTTACATGCAAGTACAGATTGCACATGGTCATATTTGTGTTGCAGTCTAAATTACATAAATTAGACATATGAAGACAGAATTTAATCATCTTGTTAGTCCTTTGCAGCACAAATCAGATTTTTGACTATGCAATCCCTATAAAATGGCAATTACACTTGAATATAAGCGTAGTATAAATTATGTTTCAAACCATGATATTGAGCACAGTATATGCAAAAGAAATGTTTAACTCATTTGCTATGGTTCCTTTCTTTAAACATTCATTTGTTGTCTGTATAGAATAATGAAGTGTAATGGAAGCTGAAAACAGATTAAAAGAGTAATTTCCATGTCAGTATGCTTTTGCGTTTCCTCCTTCCTCTGAAAATGGGCTGTTCATTTGGTAAACTCTATTCTTAAATGATTTCTCAAGCTTCTGGTCAAATCTTCTCCAAATGGGACTTTAAAGTTTGTTCCTTGTATGTTATTGTCTGCTTTTTTTAAATAGTGAAGTATTTCTTGGGTGGAATAATATTTTCAGGGAAACATTGAACGGGAAATAGGAAAAAACAGTTTTATAAATGAAGAGCTTTCAGTGGATTTATTATAGATAATAGAATTCCAAGGGGATTCTTACTGAATTTGAGTTCTTAACGACCTCTGAATTCCCTTTCTCCTTATTTCTATTAATCATTGAATTGTCTTAATGGAAGAATTGTAGACACTATGTTGTGTGAGCCCAGGGTGCAGATGCTATTGTCTGTGAATTCCCAGGATCTTCCTGTGAGAAACACGCGATCATTGTTAAAGGTAGTGTTGAGGAAGTGTAGCTTGGGCAAAACTAGGTCATTGCTTGTTCCAAGTTCTCAGCAACATTTAAGTGGAAAGGAGTCTGGACACTTGATATAAATGTATATAAATCAGTGTGTGTGAGTAGGGGAGATGTAATTTTATAAATTATATAAATGTAGGGAGTAGGAATAGGACTGACATTTGTTGAATACCTAATATGTTCCAGGTAGTCTGGTAAGTACATTGTATACATTCTGCTTCTCAGTGTTCCTAGGCTCCCCCCAAAACAGTTTTTATTATATCATTTTAATAAAGAGATAAAAATTAAACAACTTGCCCCAAGTCACATTACACTCTGCTGTTAAAGCTAGTGTTCTTTCTGTTTGGTGTTCATGCCTGGATCTTTTCCATAACAGCACACAGCCTTCTTGTGGAGAGGAGCATGCCATTCATTCATGGGAGAGCCTGAAGTTCTGGCTATAAAAGTGTTCTTGACGTTTTCTTATTGTCATCTGATTGCCTGATAAGTCAAACGAGGGGGATGGAACTGTGTGCCTGGGTTTTGTCTCAAGGAAGGGAGGTAATGCTACCAAGTAGGTGTGTCGTCATAAAATACGTACAGGTAATAATCTGCATTGATGCTTTTTGTGTTTTTAAAAAAATTCATTAGATTTTTGCTACAATGGTCTTGTGTCAATATATCTAATGGAAATTGGATTACTTACTATAAAAATAAGCTTTATCTTTGGACTCTACCTACCCTAACTGAAGTGATGTCTATTAAAAGTTTGAACATTCTTAAGAATTATCACTCTCTAATCTATAATTGTGAATCATGAAATTATATGTATTTTATGTGTAGGTGTTACTTAGAATATTATTTTCCATACTCCAAAAAGAAAATAAAGAACTCTTCTTTCCTGTTTATTGTGAGAGGCATATCTAAAATCAGATATTCTTATAGACATGATGGGCTATCTACCTATGGCCTATACTAAAAATATGTGAACACTAGTTTGCTTCTCTACAGTGGATGATGTGTGTGCCATGGAAATCCCTGTGTCTTTTCTCAGCAGTAAGATGTCTCATGCTGTACAAGTTCAGAAGAGATATGGTAGTGTCACCTGTCACCTAGCAACAAGCTTAGTGCTTTGTGCCTTTTCATTTTAAGTCAAAATAGATATGAAAATGTAGTACTTAGAGTTGCATTTATCTCCAGAAATATTTAGATTAACCTTCAAGCATCTTTAGTTCCCAAGATAACTCACCATGACAGATAAACAGAAATAATTTTACATGAAAAAAAGCAACTTAACTATCAGAGACCTTCACACAGAGCAAGGCCAACATGGATCTGTTATATAATACTTCAGACTTAAGTGCCTGTTCCCTAATCGGCTTTAAAAATTATGGTAACTGAAACGAATGTGTATATAAAACTTTATTATTGGATTTTTAAAAAATCAGTGTTTGAAAACACAAGATCACAGCTAATGAAGCGGTGATTTATAAAGCTGAATCTAGAAGATGGAATTTCGAATAGAATTGCTGTATCAGCACCAGAATTCAATTTACTCGAAACAGAGCAGCTAAATTACCTTTGTGCAGAGAGTGGAATACCCTGACTAGTCAGATGTCTATAAACACCTTTAAAACGTGCTTCTCATTCTCTATTTAAAGATACATAAGGGATTCTCAGAGGAACTGGCAACTAGTGAACTTATGGGTCCTGAAGTATTTAGAATGTATTAAACACTAACCTTTAAAGATTGAGAACATAATAGATCATTTAAGATGTGATGAAGGGCCAGCACCCTGTTAATACAGGGTAATGTAATGCCTGCGCTCTGAGATAATTATTCCAAAGTAACTCCTTACTCATTAAGGTGGGGAGCATCCACTTTCATTCTGACCAAGGTCATTTCTGTTGTCCAGAAAACTCTTTTTAAATTCTCAAGGAAGCTGGCTATGTGTCGCAGTCTTACAGGAAAAAACCAACAGTTAGAAAGTGAAGAATTTAGAAAATCATTCTCCATCCCTTATAGCTATTAAAGAGAAACAGGTTTAACTAGAATTTATCCAGACTCTCCACTACAACACGAGCATTTATCAGTGGTCCTTGGCAGCAATATTTTTGTTTAAAAGTACATCTAAAATTCTTTCCAAAATGTGATAATTTATGCTTTTTCTTATTTGTCATGTTTTTTTCATATAGAAGTAAGTGACCAACCCTTTGCTTTTTCTGCACTGACAATTGAGAATTACTTTTGAAGCCAGGAAAGGGCGGACCAAAAGCATTTGCGATGAGTTTTTGATGAGGACAGTGACCTTTAAAACTTCTGTGCTTTGGGAAGATTTACTGGATGATTTCACAAACCTATTTGGCAGAGCTAGGTAATCTTTTAATTAGGAAATTGATGAGATATTAACTCTTATTGGAAATGTGCCATTTTCCTATATTATATATCATGGCCTGCTTTTGATGTCGATTTCGGGAGCAACACAAAGGCCCCTTTCTTAGCATGAATAAAATTAGAGATTCGTCTGTTCTGTATTGTGATCTTAATTTAGGGAAATCTTATTTTTTCCTGTTTAAAACTTGGGCTGTTGATTAAAGAGTGATTATGCTTCATGTATGACAGCACAGATTGCTGTATAGATATTACTTCAATTAGGGTAGGTGGGGTACATAAAACAGGTATTATTATTATCCCTGCTGCTGTGGAGAAGGAAATTGGGCCTCAGGGAGGTTGAATGAGTTGCTTAAGATGACACAGCCAGGGGAAGACAGAAGTGAGACTTGGTAGGGCAGGTCTTCTCAACTCTGACATGTGTTTTCATTTACTGTCATTGGTGCTACTTAAAGTATAGGGGAGCAGGATGGGAGCAGAGGTAGAGATGTCTTGCGTGCTCCCTGAGGCACTTGAAATAAATGGAAAACACTAATGAACATTGTACCAGGCTTTCCCCAGGTTTAAAACCCACAGAGATGTACATTTAAATTAAACCACAAAGAGCCATGCACTAAGATTTGGGACTAAGGGGATTTGTAAGGACCCTGATATCATGTAACTTGTTACCCTGAATAGGAAATTAACCTCTGATCATCACTGTCCAATGGATCTTAAAATAATTCATGTGCCCAACTCATAGAACTGCTTTCAGAACAAATTATATCATTAGGTTACTTTGTAAATCCCCAAATGCTGTGAAATGTGTGATAGTGTGTTATGTATAGTTCAAATAATATAATGTTTACTTTAGTATGCAGATTAATTGTACAAAAAAGACAAATTATATAATTAAGACTCTAGTTACTTAGGTAATAAATATCCACAGTTAATATGAAGGGGAGTTTTCTTTATTTGATTTTTATATCATTTCTCATTATTAGCTTTATTTTTTTGACAAATATTTTTCGATCCCCTAAATTTTGTTAGGCTTTGTGTTGAGTATTGGGAAATAAGCATGGGAATGGCACTGTGTTAATAGCATGTGTTTCTTCTCCTGGTGGGAATATAAATTGGTACAGCCTGTTTAAAAAGCAATTTGGTGATATATTTTGATAGCCTGAGAAAACTCATATTATTTTAATCCACTGATTACATCATTATATTCTAAGGAAATAATGGTGCAGACTAGAGCAACTAAGTATAGGATGTAGGATGACTGGCTAGGGGTGAGTTGTGGTGGAAATCTGTACTGTTCTCTAATACCCAGTCCCCACTATCCAATTAGAGTCTTTCTAGAGAGATCATCCTTTCTAGTTGTACAAAGGGGTCATCCAGGCTAGCAGAGGCCCTGGTGTATACAAGATTTACATAGAAGGATGTTTAGTTGTCAGTAATAGCAACAAATCATAACTCAGGAGACAGTGGAGTACTATGTATCCCTACAGCGGAGTACTATAAATTTTGGATTAAGCATTAATAAATTGACTCATATGAAAATGCTCATGGTATTTTAAAATGTGTGTGTGGGGGGGATTACACGACCATATTTTGAGATATAAGGAGCTAGAATGTAAGATTGAAGCCAGTTTTGAAGTATTGGGTACATTCTGCTAAGAAATTGGAACTGATTGGTTTAGATATATTTTGAAGACAAAAAAGGACAATATGTGTTTGATAAGAACATGGTGGTTTAAATGACTTTTAAGTTCTTTCAAGGGATTCCATATTATGGCTTAATAATGTAAGACAGAAGAATTATACTCTAAATTTCAAGAGAATATTTCTAGTCTGGCACTATAGTATCAAAATATTACATTTATGTTGTATTTCTTTGTAGTATCCTTTTTACTAGTACTAAAAGCTGTAGTATGCATTGGGAGGTGTGTTTTGAGACATAAGAGACATATATAAGGGGCGGGGCGGAGACAGACAGAGACAGAAATAGATACATGTAAAACTGGGATAAAATTAAAGGCCGGTTCCCCTTACAGGCCAAACCCATGGAACTTGTGAATTCTGCTACATTTTCTTAGGGCCTTGTGAGTTAGTGAGCTCTTTTTTTTGTTGTTCAAATGTATGGAAACACATGCAAAGGAAACCTGGCCCAGTGCTGCAGTATGGACATTGGCACAGAACGTCTAAGGACTACAGGCGTGTCTCCTCTTGAATATAATTCCAAATGGGAAAAAAAAAGTCAACTGCGTCTAATAAGCTGGCTTAAGTGAATGCCAGAGAAAATTTGCCTCATGAAATGGAAATTCTGAAGCAAGTTACTTAATGCTGAGAAAAAACAAATAGGATGACTTTCAAAGGGGGCGAATGGTCCATTTTAATCAGAACTCTCCAGTCCAGCAATATTTAATTACTTTTAATTATGTAATTATATTTTAATTATTTGGAAAGATCCAAATGGTCCTGGGGATTTGGAAGCTTTTGATTATATAACTACTTACTTAATATTTGTTTAATTTTAAGAGGTGACATTTATTAACTTAGATCAGTTTTAAAAGTTACTTGGGTATTGGCCGACATGGAGCCACCAAAAAGTATCATATTGGTTATTCTGTACATTTGTATCAGCTGTAAAGAGAGGGAAAACAACCACAATACATTTCCTCTGGAAAACAGCATGACTAAAAATCTCTTAGTTGCTAAGAATAATGGAGCCAAGTGCTCCAGCTGGAGTATTTGTGAGTTCTCTTTCATATATTACATTTTCTTTTAACCCGCTTTCTGCCATTTCTCCCTTTCTTTTTCATCTTCACCCACTGATCTTTGTCCAGAGTTTCATTATCTTGTGTCCGGGATCTGTCTCAGTGTCCTGGCTGGTGTTTCTGCCTCTCTTCCCTCATTTCTACATTTTGCCCTTTACGTGGCTGCTAAAGAGCAAGCAAAAAAACAAACAATGAAAGAAAAAGTATTCCTCAGCTCTTATTTGTATGTCACTCCACTAATTAAGAACTTAAAGTATTGCAGAATTAGGATTTTCTTTGTTTCTCCTCAATGAAAGGATGTTATCGACATGTGGAACCTTTTCTCATTGTTTGTTTTTGTGTGCTTTTCTTGCAGGATCAATGTGACTCCAGAAACCAATGGATGAATGAATATCCATATGAAGAGGAAAACAATAAAGGTGGGTCAGTCAGACTGTGTAACTGCAGTGAAAATCCTATTTGAACATGACTTTTGGGCAGGTATTCTCATTAGAGCACCTCCTTGTCTGAAGATGAGACCGAGGTCAGTACTTAGACTCACGCATCTGGCTGGCGAGTGTAGTTTGTATTTTTAATTCTTTAAATATAGAAAAATGTGTGAGGAGGCAAACTGCTTTTGTGCAAGTCTACCTGTCTTCAGTTTCCAGAACTGAAGTTGATATTTTAAGAATCAACTTTTAGATGGGTAGTAGAAACTGGTAAACCAGTTGATGCAACTGATCATGGGGACAAAGACCAAAAAAAAAGTAGCCAGATTTTGTTTAATATACATCAGTTCCTACAAGCGTAATCCTAATGCGAACACCTTATGGTGTGTGATTGCTGGCAAGTGCCGTGCCCACACTCTCGGCTTTCCTTAGAGGAGTAGGAAGATTATGAAAGTTTTTAACTTTGATTTCTCACAGACATGTACCAATATGAGTTTGGAAGAAAAGTCCTATGAACATCACCAGGAATCAAATGCTGGCTAGCACTTCATTTGTGGTAGTTATTTGAGCTTTCCTTGTACTACATACTGATTTTTATAGACAAATCACAGGTAACACTGTTACAATACGTTAAACTACCTTCTTTTCATAAGGTTTATACACTGAACAGGTCTGGTACACATGCATGTGCCTCGTAACTTCATACAGCTGCACAGCACATACAGTTTCATATTTTCATTGCCTCAACTTGCCCTGCCACTTTTAAACAAATGTACATCATGCCATATCTTTTTCTGGCAGCCTACTTTCACATTTACTTACAAGCCATTTCCCAGGTTATATCTTTCAATTAAAACTGCCTTCCTCCTCCCTCAGTGCTGAAATCACTCCTTTCTAGTACATGCGTGCATCTGGGCAGTGTCAGACCTCTAGAGGGAGTACGGATTCGGAGGTGATCCAAGGGAGACTTCTGGGTGTGATAGTCAGGTTCTTTTTCATAACTCCGGTGTTGCCTATGTGGTTGCTGTTTGTAAGAATTAGTTGTACTGTGTGTTTGTAGGTAGCTCAGTGGTGTGCTGGTGAACAGGCTATAGGGGCTGGGGTGGGGAGGCCTGGTCTGTAGTGTTTGTCAGTTCCTATGGTGTAAAACTCCCACTCTGGCTGATTTCAGAGATTTAACCACTAGCTTGCAAGTGTTCTTAAAATTCAACAGTTGGTTCTCATAAGCTGGAGTCCAGCTAGCTCTATCTCTCACACCACTGATAATTTCATTTACAAACAATTTCACATGCTCCTTAAGACAGTGGGGCAAAGGTAGTAAATTTAAATTTTCCAGGCTCATTCCTGTGTAAATATAGATACCTTCTTCACTCATATCATGCAAAATGTATTTACCCCTTTTCTTATGTATGATGTTGATATAATATTACTTTGTGTTTTTGTTCAATTGTTATTAAATTTTTATGTTTGAATGGATTAGGGTTAGCTTTGTAAGTTTATACACTTTGGCAATGTCATTTTTCTGTAACTAATTTTATGATAACTGAAGATGATGGCAAAGAGAATCATTGTGTTACTGCTTTCCCTGAGGATAAACTCTGAAAATATTATCATGATTGGCTATAATATACTATATGTGATTCATTCTAAATGATTGTGCCTCATAGCTTATAATTCATGAGTTCATAATTTTTATAGAGGAAGGAGCAGTGAGTATTTCACTGAATATGTTTGTCCCAATGAATTATTTTTTTCTATTGCTGTTTTTCATACTTTCGATCCATCCATATTTTCAGTTATAGGTACCTTAGAATAGAATGCATTTGACGCTTGTTTTTTTAAGTTGGCTTGAATCAGGTGCCGTTAGCTTTAATACAGTCTGATTCTGGGAGAAAATTGTAGAGTTTGAAATTTTGTCTTTTCTAAATATTTCAGATATGTTGACAAGGTCATTATTACAATGACGTTTTAAAAATCTCAGCAGTTGAAGCAACATTGCCACTGTCTATATAATTGAAAAGGGATTTGAATGTGGCTCATAAAATTATTTTGTACATTTTCTGTTTGCCAATGGTGACAAAATCTTGCCAAGAGTCACAGAATATCCTACTGTGCCTTTGTGCTTAGGTTTTTAAAATTTAAATAGCCTACATAGCATTTGTAAAATTTCTTTTATGTCCATACCAAGAGTCTTGCTTCTAGCTTACTTCCAGGAGCAGTATTCATCTGCCCTTTCTTTCCAAAGAGAGAGAGAGTGTGTGTGTGTGTGTGTGTGTGTGTATTGCATTAAGTTTTTTCTTGTACTCAGTTTTTAATTTGTTACTTAATTTCATTGCACTTGAATTAGTCCCTTTACCACCTGTCATTAAAAAACATCAAATGAATTCTAAAAAGCATCCAGACATCCATTATTTCTTGCTCATAAATATCTGCTTAAAATCTAGTCTCTATGCTCTTATATGCATTTCAGCAGTTGCTGTCATTGTGAACAAGGTGGCTTGGTTGTGGACCTGGCTGTACTCCACTTGTTTCCCAGCCAGTGCAGTTTGCTTACCAGGTGCTTCTCAGCAGCTGGTTTAGAGCAGGTGTCCAAAACATACACATACATATACATTTGTCCAGCTTATCAGAGTTCACATGCAAACTTTTGTTCTATGACTACCTCTGATGAACAGCTACTTAAACCATCCAGCACAGCAGTGGTGCCTTCTATTTCTTGTGTTTGGAATCTAAGAGGACAATAGCAAACCTTTCTGAGAAAGCTTTAATTCCTTACAAAAAATATATTTAAAAGTTTATTTCATGGTGATGGACACATCTAGTGTGGTTACTTTAAATTTCTTTTCCATGAAGTTCCAATTCTTTTTTCTTCGCACAGGACAGACAGATTGTAATAGCAGCCATTCAGTATTCCTTCCATTTTGAACTAAGGAGGCACATTTCCTCAGAAAGCCCCATTGGTGGAAATGAAGCCTGCTGTTGGCAAAGGTTTATGTAGAGTAGCTGCCTGGGCCGTAAACATGGAATCAAAAGATGTCAAGTGACAGCTCTGCAGTTCTCTTTGTATGGTCTTGGACCAGTGACTTCTTTCTGAATTTTACTTTTCTCAACTGCAAAGTGGAACGAATAACACCTGTCCTTACCTATTTCAAGAGTTGTTATGGGGGTGAAAGAAAATACGACATATTTGTGCAAACAATTTAAAGTTGTAGAATTCTAGAGCTGTGTGTGGCATTGATGCTATTATTTTTAAAGCATAAGACAGAGATTCATGACTGTATTGTATGACTTTACATCATAAAGTCAAGCTTTTACAGAATTGGAAGCACCCTTGAAGGTCACTGACTCTAACGTGTGCTTGGTGTGTGGTGGCCTTCTACAGGAGTTGGCTGCTTTAGGATTATGTTGAGTACTCCTTGGAATTTCCTTCTGCGTGTGGCAGTTCATTCTATTTTTGGGCATATGTAATTATAAATTCTTCTTATTGAGTCAAATCAATAGATTGGATAGTGGTATGAATTCAGTAGGCACATCACATATTTATTAACGTATCGTCCTGGATTAGGTCACTCTTCTGTCAAGTCTTTTCATCTTTGGGTGTCTAATTTCTCTGATCTGGGAAATTAGAACAAAGTGATATACAGGGAGTTGAGAAAGATTATGCAGTAATTGAAGTAGAATAATGGCTTTGTATTTGAAAAGATGATGCATTGCTCATTTTAAAAACATTAAAGCAGGCAAAGCCCTGTCGCCTCCCCACCTAACACCGATCAACATTGGGTGAACATTATTTACAGCATCTCTGTCTGCATATATTCACGAAAATGGAGGCAGTTTTACAGAAAGAGGATTATATTTATACTTTGTATTTCTAAAGAAGAGTTATTTTTTTACTTTGCTTCCAATATAATGGAAGAAATAGAAACTGAATTTAAAATGAAGAACTATATTAATTTCTAGTTGATGTTCTTTCACCAAAGTGATGCTGTTACTTAAGAGTTAAGGGGAAATAAAATCCAACTTTTTGAGTTCTCACAATTCTGCTGTTTTAAACAATGGATTCAACTTTAAACAGCATCTTTTGACTTTTTGCTAAGAAAGGTGGGAAAATTGATGGTATTTCTTTCTAACTACCTTTCCCTCTTCTTGTTTTACTACCTTTTTAAAATTGAGGTTATTACCCATTATCCCATTATCTCTGGTTGTTAATCATAATTATGAGAGCTATTTCATCTTCATTCTTATTTTTCTCAGAAATATGGAAACAGGGCCTTATTGTCATCTGGCATTTTGTGTTCCTGTGAAGGCTGACACCACCTGATCTTTCACTCTTCCTTATTTTGCTTTTTGGTCAGATATTCATGGGCTATTTTTAGTAAGCTAGAAGTTTAGTAAATTCATCGATTTTTTACTTTTTTATCATTCTGTGTTGGTTTTTCTTGGCCTCTGCCATAGAAGTCTGAGAAGTAGAGTCTGTTTCTATGCCTTCATATTTTAAAATTATAATTAAGGAATATTTTCTATTTGCTTTGTTTTCTTTTTTAGTAACCATGAAAGATGTTTCTCTTTGGTTTTCCATATCTATGATTGTCCCCTTTACCTTTTTTTTTCTTACTGTGCTTTTCCATTAAACATTTTTTCTTACTATGTTTTCCATCCAGTTGTTTATTATTTTTTACTTGCTGAAGTGGCTTTTCATCTCTAGTATTTTATAGCTCTTTTAGCTTATTTTCATGTGTTTCAGTTATCTTGTATTATATCATTCGAACCCTTGTACTTCTCCCTTGAACCTTCTTTAAAGAAAGACCTTTCGTTTGTAATGTTTTTGAGCCTATGAAGTGTTACTTGTCTCAATTTTTTATCCGTTTCCTTGGGTAATTTCTCCTGGGATGTTTGTTCTTCACTGGCCTTTTCCTTCCATTTCTCTTTTGCTTTTGATATCTGCTGTTTTCTGCACAGTTCCTCGTGGCCCCTCTCTGATTGTTCCCCAT